ATATTTTTTTATTTTGATGCATATATTTTTATGTATTTGGGTTGGAAAGCTTGCAAACTAGTTGTGTTGCATCAGTTTTTTTCACAACATTTACAATTAACCCCCCTGCAGCCTGGTACAGTTAATGCCACCTAGGGGGTGAGTCACGCCACTTTTGGCTGAATTGTACACAAACTGTAGGTGCTGGAAACAAAGTTTGCAATTTTTGTATTAAAAATAAATAACCGATCACATATCAATCCAGTTGGTGGCATTTCTCCAAAGAACCCCTTTCGGCACCTCTTTTTTTAAGAGCGACTGATGAGTTATGATGCCTTTCATCTTTAGAAGATCTTCACTGGGACAGTTTCTGGAAAGAAACCAGGAGACCATATGTTCCCCCAACAAAGCCATTCAGATGTAAGATAAATGTGTAAAAGATGACTCATGGGACCACATTGCTTTCTTCCTCAGTTATCTTAAAAGTGTGGTATTATTGCTCGTGCTTCGTGTTTTAACAATATGCTCCGTATTTCCCATATTGAACTTCCTACTTACTGTGTTTCTCACATCTAACATCCTGTATATGTCCAACATGATCTGCACTCTGCCAGACTGACTGACTTCTCACACTGGTCACTGGCTTATCTCATTGATCCCTTCCTCTGTGTCATCTGAGTGCTTCGGTTTAATCCTGCTTTTCTACATTTAATATCATAATCCGATGATGCTCAGAGGTTGTACTTTGAGTCTTGGCTCTTCTCAGTGTTTCTTCCTCATGCTTTTTGGGAGTTTTTTTTGCCACTGTTACATAGTCCTTGCTCATTAGGGGTCTATACCAGTATTTCTTTACAGCTCACAAGGTCTGTTGTGAAAAATGCAGTACTAATCAAGCTGAAATGCTATCACTTCTCCAGACTTGACAGGGCCTTGTCTGGCTTGAAGCTATCCTCAATTTTTCACAGTTTCCCTTGACACGCTGAAAACCCTGCTGTTTCTAAGACACATTTGCACCCAGTGTGCTAACGATATTCAACCACCTGCATCAATCAGATGTTACAAACAGCCACACAACCACTGCATTTAAATCATCCTTCAGAGCTGAAAGACAGTAGGGTGAGTTGAGGTAAAGCGGGATACTTGAACTGTGTGGCTGTGCTTTGTTGCTTTTGCCAGCCAATGACAACAAATGTTGCTTAGATGTTCTGTATATGGAGCTGAATATGAATAAAAGTCACTTAGATGTTGCTGTATGTGATGCTGAATATGAATAAATGTCGATATATGTGTGCTGAATTTGAATAAATGTTGACTTCCTTATTGTGTCTGCCTTTTCACAATCAAACGCATCAATAAATCTCATGGTAAATACAACAGAATCTGAATTTTTATTCTAAAATGTCCAGGTGTAGTTTTATTATTATATAGTTGCCTTTAGTAGATACTGACACCAATTTAAGCGTTAATTTAAGAGTTCTTAAAGGTTTCTTTAGTAAAGGCAGTGGTTCTACTTAGATCAATGAGCTCTATATAGAACCATTTTATGCCCAAATGGTTCTGTACAATTGGTGGAGAACTGTAAATGTTCTATATAGCACCAAAAAGGGCTCTGCTATTGCTACAATGACAAGCTTTTAACAATAGAAGAACCCTTTTTGGTGCTATATAGACCCATTTTCAAAAAGGTTCTATATAGAATCACATACAAGACAGTACCAATCTGAAGTACCATTTCACCAATGCAAACAACCATTTAAGCATGCAGTGGTTCTATGTAGAACTCATGTTTCCAAATAGAACCACTGCATATATCAAAGAACGATTGAAAAATCTTTTATAAGCGTGTGGTCTTTTATCGGCTTTTGATGATGGACTGTTGATAATGCGTTTTAAAAGTGGAAGCAGCTTTATCACTTCATCTTTCCAACTGTCCAGCTAAAGCTGAAAGCCACCCGTAAGAGATGAGTGGGATCATGTCTTCTTAAAGCACATACAGCACTTTATACTAGGTGAAACAAATACCACCATGTTTCAGTGTATGATTGTAGACAAGCACCAATTTTAGAGGAAACTAGTATCACTTGATTTGTGGGCGAGTGGATTTGATGGACTGTTCTGATAATGATACAATATGGCCCAATTTAACCGGATTCGCTCTATAAATAAGCCCAATCTTAACATTAAGAAAATCATAAGCCATAATATTCCTTAAAGAGAAATGTTCAAAATAAGTGCTTAATTTTATTACTTACATTTAATTACAAAAGCCTTTATGCAAAATGCTTTTTGTTCTAGACAAACTTACAGAATCAGAAGTGTTCACAGTGGTGGCGATTGGAAGCAGACATCTGAATGCCTCACAGAAAAATATTACATAAAATGGTTACATACAAGTTGTCTGATGTCCAGGAGTGGGAAGTAACAAAGTATAAGAACTTTTTTTTTTTTTTATCCGTACTTAAGTAATTTTTTTTAAGCATCTCTACTTTATCCGAGTATTTCTGTCACTTAATACTTTTGACTTTTACTCACCACATTTCAAAAGAAAATTCTGTACTTTCCACTGACCACATTTTCTCTAAATTTTTATTTATCTTTTTTTTTTTAATCAGGCAACTTGTGATTGGCTGCTTCTACAGCTGCCAATAACGCAGAAAAAGGATGAAAAGAAGCAGCAGATGAGACGCAAGTCATGGAATGAGAGATGAGAGACGAGAGATAAATCATGAAATGCAAAGAAAGTGACAGTAGTGAGATGGTGCATATTCTGGAAGGTGAAAATACATTGAAAAAAATTCCCATCCATGGCCTTACCTGTACGAACGATCTGTCCTGGTTGGTTTAAAAAATAAAAAATAAAAAATTATGCTGAATGCTCTACAAAAAAAACAACTGTTATTAAAGTTTGTCATTTGTATTTTTTGATTGATTTTGCAGATGACGCAGGCAGCTCTAGCAAATACCAAAACCAAAACGGGTTCTTCTATTGTGACAATAAGCTGCTCTTCCATCAAAGATGGTGCTTCAAGGGTTCTTTAATAAAGAAAGCGGTTTTAAACAGAACAATGAATACTCAAAGAACCCTGTGCATGATTAAAGGTTTCTTCAGAATGATGGTGAATGTGCATGAATGTGCTATACACAGTTGTATACAGAACCATTTTGAAAAGGCTTCTGTATAGCACCCAAGAGTTCTTCTATTGTTACAAGCTTGAAATAGTAACAAAAGAAGAACCCCTTTGGGTGCTATATAGAACCCTTTTCAAAAAGGTCCTATATAGAACCATCTACACATTTTCTATCAATCTGAAGAACCCATTAACGATGCAAAGAACCATTTAATCATGCAGGGTTCTTCGGGTGTTCATGGTTCTATATAGAATCGTTTTCTTTATTAAAGAACCCGTAAAGAACCATCTTTTTTAGGAGTATACTTTAACTTCTACCAGAGTATTTCTTTTAATACCAGAGTACCTTTAAATACCTGTGGACTTCCGCTACCTCTGCTGATGACTGAGACATAGTTTTGAGAGATTACCACTATTTAATCATTACTGTCATTACATACAAAACTTATAGGTTCCCTGATATACCAGACAGGAAATGAAATGGACATATTTGCACTGTAGACTTAAAGAGTTGGTAAATTCTCTACAGTGCATCATTTCACGTCACACCACTCTGAATGACTGTGTTTACAACTCAGTCATTAAAATATTCAATTCAAGTTTTCCTCTGGTGTTTCCAGCACACGTACTGTGTTTTTCGCTGCATGACTTAAGCGTTTACACGTGAGTATCCAGTGTCAATTCTTGGGTCACATCCAGGACTGGAGACTGTAACTGATGGAACGGTTTTGATTTACCGTTCTGTTCATATCCATCTGTGTCATGCTCGATATATCACAATTTCCTATGCAAATGCTTCCACTCTTCGATCACGGTGATTAATGACACACTGACAGTCGCATTATGGCCGCTGTTATCCACCGGTTCTTCCCATTGCTCTTTGTGCCAATGCGTCTTAAGAGCCAAGAGCCTTTCTACCACCTGGTGGTCGTGATGGAGAAGTGCACGGCCGTGGTGTTTGCTCTTAAGCCATTACATCATCAGGTAGAACTGAAAGACTGAATGCTCTGGGGGGTGTTTCACAAAGCCATTTTTTCCTGGTAAATTGAGGACCCCCTGACCTCTCCTCCTATTGCACAGGCTCCTCTTTAATTGAGAAATCCTGTTTGATTTTTGCTCAGTAAATTGGAACGAGGGTTAATGGAGACCCAAGATATGCAAAGCAAATTAGCAGACTTCTAATAAATCCATGGGCTTTGCCATTTCAAAAACCTTGTAATAATTCCCCCAGCTCTTCTATTTTTCATTAAAAGAACGATACGATCATTGAAATGCTTTACACACAAAGAAGTATTCCCTATATTCAATGTGCTCAATAAAAAAATCTAAATAAAAACTTAAAAAGGCTGCCTGTACTTTCATTTAGGATTAATACGATACAGGAAGAAGGTCACAATAAGGTAAATAAGGGAGCACAGAGGTCCTAGTAAGAGTAAAGTGTATTATATTTTACCTTCAGGATTTAACAGTGTTCTCAATGCAAAACAATGCATCTTATGTTGCCTCAGAACAGTGCACTTGATTTGAGTTTCATGATCATTTTCTTACAAAAAAAACAACCTTATTTGGCAGGAGGACAGAACATCGATTTCTCTTTATAAAAAATGAAAAACCACAATAATAATAATAATAATAATAGTTAAACATGCAATTGCAGAACTAAAATATAAAGGTACATTAAAAAAAAGACTAATGAAAGAAACAGACACAGAGTTCCCAGCTGGAGACACATGATAAAAATCACATCCATTACAACAAATAAAAGCTTTGTAATCAAAGCCATGGACATGTCCATTATTTCCACAAATACTACCTTGTTTTGGTGCAGTGTGCAAGACTCTTGTAGGAGCAAAGTATAGGACACTATAGGATGCTCCCACTGCAAAAAACACACACAAACAAACACATCAAATAAAGCAGGCAGGAAGCCATAGCCATTACTCCTAATAAAACAGTAATCCAAAAGAAGAATAAAAAGTAATAAATATCAAAGATATGAACTTTTTTAAAGCTGGAAACATCATCAGTTACAGCCTGTACTTGTGCGACATCAGGAACAAATAAGCAGTTTAATCAAGTAAAAAAAAAAAAATTAAAATATTAAAGTGTATTATCAGTGTGTTCATCACGCAAAAAACAGACACCAAAAACGTCCTTAATGCGCCAGTCTCCAAATCATTTGGTAACCCCACAATTTTTCATCACATTTAAAACATGTATTCTCAGAAGTTCAAAGCAAAGCACATCAACCAAATCCCTCAAGAGTAATTAAAACTCAATTTTATATGATTCCAACAACCAAGCTGCACTGAGAGACTGATTTCTCTGACTTGCCTTTGTCCAATTTCCAGCCATTTCTCATTCACATTCTCTGTGTGCAACACCAAAGCCAAAATGAATAATGTGGCTGCCTCCTCTGGCCCTGCCACAGCCTGCTAACGCTTCATCCAGCACGCTGCTTGCTTCCAAACCAAGTGCACTACACAAAGATACTACCACCTAAGATAATAACGTAAATGTCTGCCAAAGGATCATTTTGGCATTAAAAAATCAAGAATGGTGTATTTGACCACAGCACAGCGACCAGTTTCGTATTACAGCCTTGCCGCTCTTTCATGAGAGCATACTGTGGTTGATTACACAGTGCTGTAGAGGAGATTACGACGTCTTCATGTCTGCTCATTTTTTGCTATTATTGAATCTCTGTCTGCACACAGCAATCCTGCATGAGTCGAGGGATCAGGACACTCCAGTACATTCAGCTTAGATACAGAGAACTCAGCCTGAGAAACGTACCAGAAAAATAATTTCCACCCTCGCTCAGAGGGCCAAAGGGAGGATTAGGGATAAAAACAAAAAAGGGATGCACCGATACAGAATTTCTGGGCTGATAATGATGACTGATAATTAGCAACTAATGTGGCCTGTAAGCATAATCCATATTTTTTTTTTCTACAAATAAGTTGACACAATAATTCATATTTGAAGTACAGTGAGCATTTCACAGGTTAGGATGGTACATTGATTATATGTATGTACCCTTCACAAAGCTACATCAGATGTGAGCTATGGAGTTATTTTACATAGGCTTGTGCAGGTAACAAAATCCTCTTATTCGAGTAATCACATGGAATATAACAGCAGGTCAACCAAAACTCTGAATTTCTTTGTTTCTTTCTTTTACCTTTTTTTTTTTTAATTCCCACAAAGCATCTGTGTGGTGTCTGAAACCTAAAGGTCTGAGAATATCCTACAACATACATCGTAGCACAGCGGCTTTCTGTACAGCATGATATCTGCCTGTGGCGATGGCAAACAGTGCCCCGCCCTGCCTCCTGAGTGCACTTAACCAGTGCAGCTCAACAGTCACATTTTTAGAACAATCTCATCAAAGTTGAGTTAACATGTGGGAATACTAGTGTTTTGGTATGGTTTGCATTATGAAAATAAATCAATAAATCAGAAACTTTTTTTTTTTAACTGGCAGTAAATGAGTTTTATATTGGAGGGCCATGATTGGGGTACAGTGGTAACTCAGTTAACCTTTACCAAGCACAGGCTTAATTTTACATCATTTTTATATATTATTTCGCGGACATTCTTAGCCAGAAATACTAGCCATGTCATCTTAGGAGTCTAAGAGCGAGTAACAAAAAAAAAACTTATTCGATACTTATAACTATAGCAGTCCAGTTCCTGCCTGTATGGGGAATCAAACCTCCAATTTTCTGTATGTGCTATGGTGTTATCCACTATGCTATCCACAATATGTGCTAATTCATCAACTGATGATTGATGTAATTTGAATATCAGATCAAACCCAATACTGCAATTTTTACATTAATGGACGAATAATATATATCGGGCACCCCTTGGGAAAAAGAAAAGGGGGAAGTAAAAGACTGCCGTTGTCACTCTCACTCTGCTTCTCACAGTGCTGGATCACACACACCTCAGATGAGGAGTGCAAGTGTGCGTGTGCGAGCGTGTTGGAGCCCTTTGGAGATTCAAAGCACTGGTGTAGGTCTTAGAAACCTACTGCGCCATACAGTACATCACACTCCCCTGACAGTGGCCTGTAGAGTTCAACCACAGGCAGAACAGCCGCAGTATGGACAAAAGAGAAGAGCGTTAAAAAAAAGAAAAGGAAAAAAAAGGAAGCAGATTTGTTCAAGTACGGTTGTTAAAGGGGATCACCAAGCCTCTGTTTTGAGCCGAAATGCAGCTCATGGTTGCTCTACATGGGCAGTTAGTCAGAGCTCACACTGTTCCTAAAGCAGGAGGCCATAAAAGGTGCAATAAGTAGAATTTTCTCTATTTAAATTTAGTTAAAAGATCATTGTAGATCACCGATTCACAAACTAACCCATCACTATAGTTCCTGTTTTAATAAAAGGGCCACACAAGGCTCTTGTAAAATTCATAAAAATGCTACGAACGTGTTTGCGTAACGTTACAAATGCTACGGACTCGATCAACAGCACACAGAGACAACTGGAGCACACAACAGCTTGTAGTAACAACAACATCAATGCCAATGTCAATTACTCATGTATTCCCACCTAGTGCACCTTTACTTATACAGCCACAAGTCGATGACCTCCTGGTACAGTAGCACCAATCGAGCAACTGAGCGTGATTCAGAACCAGAGAAGTTAAACAGTTGATGACAGTTCCGTGCTGATTAACTGCCAAGTCTACGTTAGAGCATGTGATTCGGCCTTTAAAAAGAAATTGTTCAAAATAGCCTGTGCATAACATGCATATATCGGCATTCAACAAGTTTTAAGACAGTAACATTCACCAATTACTATTTTTTAAAAATTTATATGGATATGATTCATATAAAGCTGTGCTCAGCAGATGTTGGTCTGTACATTTAGAGAATCTTTTGTTTTTTTGTTTTTTTAAATATAGATATTCTAAAATGGTTCCCTTCTATTCCATATGGCTTTTCTGTCATGGCTTTTTCACCCCCCCGACACCTTCCTATTTTTCTTTTTGCCCCACTGAAAAATAACTAACCTTTCATGTCAATAAAAAAGAATATTAATGGAGTCTCTGTGTGCCATTACGCAAGGCAGCGTTTCAAAATTGCGTACATTCTTTCAAATAAGCTCAGGTTGTATCAAAATGTCCTCATAAACAAAGAAATACCTCGCGGACAGTGCCCACACCCACATGCAAAGAAAACATCACAGAGTCCACTGAAGATTGCAGATCACTCATCAAGCTCTGTGGTGAAATGGAAAGAAAGCATGTGTCAGAGTGACCTAACCTTTACCTGGCTCCAATAATCCAAGCACTGCCATTCGATCTTGTCACTGATGGCCCCTCCTCACACATAGATCCACATATAATGAGTGTTCGAGCCCTCTTGTGTTCAGTCAATTGACTTTGTTCATTGATCAGTCTGCTTCAGCCATCTTGAGCTTATATCCCTACAGGACTCCATGTAGAGCAGTAACCACTGCATATCCTCTTTTCAGTCTCTTTTTGTTTCAATACAAATCTAATGCTTTTCTTTGCTGACCTCTTCTTCCAAACAAGAAGGTCAACATCGTGTCGGAGGGTGCCCAGGGAGGGTTCTCAGCCACAGGGTCACAGTTTTGGGTCATTGTTAGGGGTGAAAGTCTGGCGACTCTGTGTCTTGGGGTGGGAAGCCAAGGAGGAAGAGGATGAGGATGAGGACGAGGATGAAGAACTGCGCCGTGTCTCCATGCCCGTGCTGGTCATTTTCAGCTTGCGGCGTTTGGCCAAAGGCGCATTGTCCACGCTTTTCAGGAAGAAGCCCTCCCGCTTGCCCCTGTTAAAGGCCTGATTGTGGCATGGATGTGTGAAAGGGATGCAAACATGAGGAGATAAAGAGACAACAAAAGAAGAAACGATTTATACTGCAGCAGTGTGACGAATAAGGTTTCACTTCCTGCGAACAAGTCCAGAGTGTACGCCTTGTAGTGTATCAGAGAACGTCTGACTAGAACAACTGATCTCAACCCACTAGCACTAGACACTGTCAGATCCAGATGGGGGCGGTTTCCTCTCTGTGCTTTTGCCAACACTATGTAGTTGTAGCAACGTATATCACCTCTGCTTAAGGCAGATAGCAGTGAGTCAGGTCTGTCTTATCATCACACCAGAACGCTAGAAGACTGTGGCCTCTCAGAAACACTGCCTAATGTTACATGTCCTGCTACTTGTCCTACATCAGTCTGTACAAGGCATAGAATGTAGATAACATTTAGCACTGTAATGTTGCCCAAAACTAGGATTAATCCATGTCTGAGAACGTGTCTTTGTAAAACACTCATTTAGTTTGCTTTGTACTATCCCTCAATTATACTATTCAAAAGAACACATGACAGGTTCTTCATGTTCTGCCGCATATCAACTGACAAAAGTTGGCTAATGAGTCATCCTGGATGGATTTGCAGCTGATGACTATCAGTGGGTGCATGACGTTATAAGCAAACAAACTGTGCTACAGATAAGAACAACAGTACAAAATGTTGCCATTTTAATGTTGTGGCTGCTACACTGTCATACTGGGAAAGACTTAACTGTTGCATAATTTTATTATGGATTCTAATACGATTCTAATGTAAGACTGCAAGGTATAGGACTGGATCTCCACATGCAAATAAAGCCTAAGTAAGAGTGGGAATTATTTGAGGCCAATATGCTAAACTATCATGGCAAGTCTACTAGCAACTGTTAAAGATTTATAATGTGTTAAGCACTGTCATTGCCAGTATTGCAATGTATTATTTCTGACTGCAAAAACTGGCTGACCAAAAGAAAATTTCTCTGTTTTATATAGGGGCGGCAATATGCTGATATTTCTCGCTATTATGAAAAATTAAAGGTGCAATAAGCGATTCGGGAGAAAGACTTGTTATTTGAACAGTAAAGCAAATACACCCCTCCCTTCAGTGTTCCTTCTGAAACTGTATTTAATTAATATTGCTTACTGTACCCAAGTTCATCCTGTTCATCATCAAGGTTAAAAACCTGACAAAAATGCTTGATTTGCAATAAACAAACCACCACTATTACAAATATATTTTATAATAGCAACAATAAGAAAAAACAATAATACTAATAATTTGTGCACATGGCAATCCAGTACAAAAGTGGATGTACGTATTTTACACGCACATTGGTATAAACAAATGCTACAACTGTTGCATTTTACATTTAAAGACATATTACACTGATTTTGTTTTATACTACTGACTACTGTTTTGTATTACTACTGAAGCCATCTCATACGCTGCAATAGACGTTTGGTTTATTTCACAATTTTTTCTAGTCATTATAATTTTAACACTAGAACATCTGCATGAATTAGAACATGCTTCATGTAAATGAGACACTGGTAGCCTGGCACTCGTTTTGGCGCACTGAAGCTGATTCACCATTTGCGCTCAAATCTCTGCTCGTTTACGTGGCTTACGAAAGTTTCATGAATCAGACACAGAGAAGTTTGGACACCACTAAAGGCAGTTGAATCTGTCCTCTGTCACAATGTGCTTTTCATCAGCACTTAAAGAACGCTCTTTATTGATGAATACGGCCAATATTTGACAATATGCTTTCTTCAGTACTTAAAGAACACTGAACAGCTGCATGTGTCATTATAAATAAGGGCATAGTTAGTCCTCTTTAGCAGGATTTAGTACAGTGCATGATGGGAAACAAATAAACAGAAATCAGTGTATTCACAGTTTTTGATAATATTTTTGAATGTTACACTACCAGTCTATTTAAAAATGTCTATTTAAAAATTTTAACTACAGAAAATAAACACTGTGAAAATGTCGGAGTATTGTGATATTTTTTTATTATATATTAGAACATTTTTTTCTTATCGCCCAGCCCTAGTTTTATCTAATAAAATGCTATTTTGTTAGTCTATCATTGGTACAGCAGTGGTGTTTGTGCCTAGACAGAAAACCAAACCTTCAATCTTCTACGTGCAAAGTCATGGTTTTATTCGCAATACTACCTAACCACCTTAGCACCATTTCGTGAACTAATAAAACATCTTTCCATCTGATTAGTCTACCAATGGGCTTACTACACAAAAATGATAAAATATCAATACTATTTTTCCACTCAAAGTACCCCAAAACCACGCTGTATCTATTTTTTCTCTCGGTTCTAGAGGTTTTCAATGAAGAACTGCTAGTAATAGTGAAAAGACTACGATTAAGCTGCTGGCTGACCTTGAAGGTGGCGTTTACGTAGGTGCGGACAGTGGGACCACTGGACTCCAGGACATCGGGGGTGCAGAGAGGAGTGGAGGAAACCCCACCGCCCTGCAGCCATGCATTCTCTTTCAGAGCAGACAACTTCAGTCGCCGCTCCGGGTCCACTGTTAACAGACCTGATAGAAAGAAATGGGAAAAGAGAGAGCAAAAGACAGAGCAAGAGATCAAACAATGCAATTAACAGAAACAGACGAGAGCTGTATCTGTTTCAGTAGTGGTTCTCATGTCTCCTCAGGGACCAACAGTTTTTTCAACATATTACTATTCCTCCTACACTTAAAGCTATTACTCCTAATAATAATGATTAGTTGATAAGCGTGGTCAGGTACTGGTGCTTAAATTCATCCTAGATGAATATGGCCTTAGAAACCTCTCACTGAGAATAATTTGCCACAGAACGTCAACATTTCCTCAGTGTTACCCAGTGAACAATTAAGATTAAAGAGACATGCAAACATTACAGACGAATAGAGTCAGCTTTAAATAAAAAAATAGGTGAGCAATACTGATTAAGTTCTGATTAAGATTGAGTAACACATGCACTGCTACCTCAACCTACCCCTCACTAGATCTTTGGCCTCTTCAGACACGCCTTTCCAAGCATCACCATCCAATGAGAAATCTCCTTCTTTGATCTTGTGCATGATGTCGGCAGCGTGGGATGAGGTCATTCCTTTTTTCTCACTTTGGAATGGGACTTGTCCAGAGAGAATGGTGTACTGAGAGAATAACAGACATTACCACTGACATAATCATTAAGCAAATTCTAATATGTAAAGATCACTGAGGGTAAATGTAAATTAATAAAAATCAAAGAAAAATAAGAAGCATACTGATGATCTCCCGAAGTGTAAATTCATGTTAACTAACTCGATCATTCCACACACATACACCCACACACTCACCAGGATGACTCCCAGGCTCCAGAGGTCACAAGCCTGATCATATCCGGAGCTGTGGAAGAGCTCAGGAGCGGCATACTGCAGTGTGAAGCATGGGGTCTGCAGAGGAGCACTACCACTGCCCGCAGGAAACAAACGTGCAAAGCCAAAATCGATCACCTTCAGCACCGAGTCCTCCGCCTCATCTGCAAACAGCACATTCTGAGGGAGAGAGAAAGAGAGCGCGCGAGAGAGAGAGAGATCGAGAGAGAGATCGAGAGAGAGAAAGAGAGCATGAGAAAGAGGTTGGAGATGATTTAGCACCACTGTGACATGACACATTCTCTCAAATAAGAAAAAATACTGATATGTGGAAAATACTTTTACATCTAACACATTCATGCATGTAGTGCAGTAACTGTACTACACAAATACAGCTGTAAAAAAAATTTGTGAAACTTTTGGAATTCTTATAAATTACCTGCATGAATGACAACCAAAATGTTATTTGACTCATCATTATAACTAATAATAATAATTTTTTGTCTGTCAATTTATGAGGTTTGTGTAGTTTAATGTACCAAAAAAACAGTTGTAATTCATTTTTACCTTTAACCCCTTTGAAATAAAAAGGTTATTTTTGTTACTGTGACTTAAGACTGATATATGTAAATGAGCTTTGTTCTGACTGGCTGCTATTTTGTCTCATTCAAAAAACAGTCGAGGCTGCAATGCTCATTGTAACTTCATTAGGAATGGAATGAGCTACACTGCTGTAGGCTAAAAAGACACATATACATCAATGTGTTTGTGAACTGTTTTTGCAGCTTAGTTTCCATTTATGGACTGTATGGACTGGAGAGTGATCGTTTTGAAACTTGTAAAAAAATGTCAATGTAGTATGTAAACAATATTTACATACTACATCAAACTCTTATTTCAAAAAGGTGAGGATCATTAGGTTTTAGGGCCCCTTAAACTTACTAACTATTGGAGCCTCCTTTACTGGCCGTAACAACAAATCACATACTTTCTGTAGATGCTTATCAGTCCTACACAGCTATTAGGACATACCATATTGTACTGCAGAATTTTCTGGCATGACTTGAAATTCATTGGTCCCTCATATGCAAACCATCTAAGCTCTGGGCTAGCAGCCTGGCCAAAACCATAATACTACCTCCACCATGCTTTACAGCTGAGAAAGGTTTTTGGTGTGGATATGCAATGTTTTGTTTTTACAAACATAATGTGCTGCGTACAGTACCTTATTGCTCCACACTATTCCAGTGCTGTGTACCAAAGGAGCAACTGTTTAAAGTTCAAGACTTTGCTGCTAAAACTAGATCAAGGAACAGACTGACATTCACTGAATGTGAATACCTCAAAAAGAGTGTTTCAAAAATAGTTGATTTCAACTATTTTTGTTACATTTTATTACTCAGACCTAAAAACTTCATCTCCGCATTTGCTTTCTGGTTTGCTTGAAGTCGTTGTCTTCCTGTACCACTTCTGGACCACGCTGTCATTACAATGCAATTCCTCCAAAGGAGTGTGTAATTCAACAACATGCAGCCTGACTGGCTGTTGTTCTGTCTTTATACTAATCCTGCATGCTGCGTGATAGGATGCAGGTGTTGTCTATTTTGGTGTAAATAAGAAAAAAATGCTGAAAGTTTAATACCTTAATCTTATTATTGTTATTAACGAAAAAATTATCATGATTGTTCAATCAAGATCTTTTTAATGGCCAACACCACAATCCACAACCACTCCATTGTGCATTAGAGAGAAATGCCATTTGCAAAAATACCAGCAGCTCTTACTGATTTAATCATAGAATGATTGAAGCTTGATAGCCATGGCCACGCCACTCAGATGTGAGGCACAATCCACAGTGCACATCAACACTCTTTGATGCAGCCAGACCATATCTGAACCAATTCTTGAGCTGTTGTACCTATACTGAACAATGAACAATGCTACTCTGATCTTTGGCTCAACCTGAACGGTGCACAGTGCCTTCCTCCTCTGCCAAACTCCTACATTTACATGCAAATCGAATGCAAATGCAGTGTTCCTTCCTGCAAAGAAAACAATTAGAATCTTGTTTGTGATGTAAAATGGATGTGTTTATTACTGCTACTGATTCATAATGATTCTCTTCATTGTTTTTGCAATGTTTCTGGACTGCTAATGAGGCTTATCCTTAAATACACGCCTATTTGGGTACTGACCTGTCCATCTCCTTAGGGGTGTAACCATCCAGTCATCCATCTCTCACTTCTCATTTCTTTATGTATGTATTCATCAATAAATCTATTTATCAAGCTTTAGCACCATCAATCTTCTCTTTCTTCTGTTCACTCATCATTGATTCCTTTTTCTTTGACTCTATTTTCACTATTAGCCTTGCCTCCATTTATCTACCTTTTTGCACATGTATCAAACCTTTACTGAAGTGACTGCTACCCTGACATCAGTTCATCCATCCTTCAATCATCTGCCTATCTACCTCTGGTTTGAGGTCTCGGTGTACAACTCCAGCCTCATGCATGAAGCTGACTGCTGACACCAGGCTCTTCATCAGCTGACTGGCCTCTCCTTCAGCAAACAGCTTCTTCCTCTTCAAGCGCTCCAATAGCTCACCTCCACGCAACATTTCCATCACTAGATATGTGTGGTACTGAGAGGGAGAAAATAAGGGAATTGAAAAAAATCAAGACAAACCCAGAACCCATTATTTGAAGAGGCTTTTCAGATAATGATCCGTGCGTGTTGTTGTGCATCTCGCACCTGATCGGTGTACACCTCGTGAAGAGTAACGATGTTTGGATGAGATTCGCACTGCCGAAGTGCTGCAATTTCTCGCTGAGTCATGGCCTCCATCCTACAGCAACACCACCACACATCATACCTTATTTACACACGGACAGACAGTACCTGGAGATTTTCTTTTATGCTTCGTCAGATAAAAAACATTCTAGCCAAAAGTAAGACCGGAACCAGCAAATGAAGCCTGCTGCTACAGTTCTAACTGGAGTATGCATTTTCATACTCTGAGTTGAGTCTGTCTGGTTTGCGACAGGGTCAGATAAAGTCACTGCGCACACCTGCGGCTGATGATTTTGACAGCATATTCTTGGCCGCTCTGCTTGTGCCGGCACTTCCTGCAGATGGAGAAACTGCCCTCACCCAGCGGCGGCCCTTGCAGACACAGCTCGTAATGCTGGAAGAACTGAGACTCCTGACAGACAGAGAGGGCAAAAGAGAGCAAGAAAGAGCGAGGGATTGCAAGGGATGCCAATCAGAAAACAAAATGTACAAAAGAAAGAATTACATGGTATAAAATGATGTGTACAGCTGCTGTTGGAACAAACCTTTTCAGGAGAAGAAGAAAAAAACATTATTAAATTATAACGAAAGTTCATGTAGAAAGATTTTTCCCCAAGCAATTTTGCACCATTTCTAATGGTCCATTCTGTGTGAAATTTTCAGACAATGTTAAAAGTAGCGAGTGTTTACAAATTATGTAAAGACAAGAAAACTGACATACAAGGTTTTGTTCTGACAGCAATGATAAACATGTTAAGGATTCAACAGACTGATAAATATATGGTTCTAATCATGTTAAACCATACATTTTTTTTTTCTTCAGCATAAAATGTATTCTTTGTACTGCACTGCATGATACCTTTAACATAGCGCTGCGTTGAACAGTGGCTGAACCAGGTCGTTCCACATTTACTGGAGCATCCAGAACATCTCCCATCACTGCGTTCTTATTGAACAAGATGGAGGGAGCCACGAATGAGTAGCCCTGCAGCCAGGAGAGAAGAGTAAAAAAAGAATAGAGGAGCTACATTTGCAGTGTAGGAAGTGTAAGAAAGCATGGGTTAAAGTGTAAGGGCTCAATCAATATGAAACTCATCATCATAATCATCATCTAAGCAGCTTATCCTCTTGGGCTGGGGGGGTGGGGTGCTGGAACCTATCCCAGCGCTCACTGAGCAGAAGGCAGGAAACACCCTGGACAAGTCACCAGTCCATCACAGGGCCTTTTGTGACCCATACTGTTTTTCAGGGGATAAAACTGTCCCACCAGCACAGAAAACAAGATACTTTGTTCTACTGGTCACATTCTGCAGTCTGATTTGTAAACAAAGTGCAAAAATCACTGTAAAACAGCCTCAAAAATTTCCTTCTGGTTCCTAAGGGTAGATTGATAGATTGATAGAAAACTCACAGAAAAATGGTAGTACGCAAGTGTGTGTGTGTTTGTGCACCTGGAAGAGGCGGTCCGTGCTAGGAGGCGTGCTGGCAGGAGAGTAGACCGGCTCCATGCCCGTGAACTCCTCTGCAAAGTTTCCCACATCTAGCTCATTACGGAGTTCTGGCTTGAATGGACTTGCTACCTTCTTTTGCTCCAGATCAGCCCAATTCAAACCCTGCAGCAAAAGTGAAACGCATTACAGCATACAGGTTTGGTCGGGTTCTGGTTTAAGTTTCACATTTGGGTGTATCATACTGTTCTTGCTTTAACAGAGTTTGGACTGCATGTACCTCTGCTTTAATTTTTATCCCTACTTTATTCTTCCTCCTTACTTTTATTAGACCTACCTTCAATTGAAGACAAACACTGATGAATACATTTGTTAAAGTGGAATTTAAACTTTCTCGATATCTTATAATTAGCTACTCATTTTTAAATTTTGTTTATCAATGATCTGATGACAGCTGTCGCTACACTACAGGCAAACTTAGCAGATGCCATCATTAGCAATATTGCAGGTGGGTTCAGGTCATGTTTGGACAGAATTTTGTCAGGCTATATTCTGGTTCAGACAAAGATTTCAGGCCTGCTTAAAGTGTGTGTGCAGGATTGCAAGATTAAGCTGAACATTCCAACCCAGTCATACTAGCACAACTCAAAACTCAAGGCATTCTTTTCAGCTTTTCTGGCACACAGAGAGAAGGTCAGACAGTGAGAGAGAGAGAGAGAGACAGGAGAAAGAGAGAGAGAGAAATAGAGGAGAGAGAGACAGAGAGCGAAGGATGTAAAGTGAGTGAATGAGAGATTTACCTTGAAGAAAGGGTGACTTTTAATGTCCTCAGCCCCCCGGGGCCCAGAGCCCAGCCTCTTGTGAGGGTCTTTCACCAGCAGCTTCCTGATGAGGTCCTGAGCCACTGGCCCAATCAGAGAAGGGAACGGAGGTTCACAGCGCAGAATACGCCTGAGAGAGTAGAAATAAGAGAAGAGAAGAGAGAGAGAGAAGAGAGGGGGGCAGATAAGAAAAACAGACACAGAAGGAAAAGAGAGAAAAAGATAAGTAGAACAAAAGGAAAATTGAGTGAACAAGGAACAGAGAAAGAGGGTGGGGGAGGCAGACAGACGGGAAAGACAGAGAGAGAGACAGAAAAAGGTAATAAGAGAGAAAGAGAGAGAGAGAGAGAGAGAGAGAGAGAGAGAGAGAGAGAGAGAGAGAGACAGGGAGAGATACTTCATCATTAAAGGACTCAACCGCTGTACAGCTAATTCAAGTGCTTCCTAAACTAATTCATTAGAGGCATTAAAGCATTATGGAGGGGAGATCATACAGAGCATGAGGGAGAATACAATAAGTGAACAGAGAAAACAAGGCTGGATGAATGTGTGTCTGTGTGTGTGCGAGTGTGTGAGAGATAGAGAGAGAGACATATTGTGTAAACATGTAAGTGTGTACTAACAGCGGGATGAGTGTGTGGGGGAGGAGAGAGAGAGTGGGTATGTGGAAGTGAGAGAAGAGAGAGTGCGTGTGTGTGTGTGTGAGTGTGACTCACTTTGACACCTCACTTTGGGAGTTCCTCTCGCCCTCCAATGTGAAAGGAGACGCTCCTGTCAACAGCTCAAACATGAGAATCCCTAAACTCCACCAGTCCACTGACTAAAGAGAGAGAGAATTATGAACACACCTAAACCTAAGTAATAAAAACTCTACCCATTGTACTCTTATGTTTCTTGAGCATGATGCCATATAATGATAATTTCCCTAAAGTTCTTTTAACACGAAATTCAGTGTCACATAAGCGCAAGGTATGTGAAGTATGAGCGACCACGCATCCAATCCACACAGCCTTCAACTCATCTCTGATGCGTAAACGTGTCAGGCGAGAATATCAGCTTTTTCCCCAATTTTCAATCTTAATCTGTTTTTAGTTTTAAAATCACACAAGTTTTTACTGCTGTTTGTGTCGGATAAAATCCTCATAATTACAGTAGCCTCTATACACAGGTAGGACAGAGCAGAGCTGCATGGTAACTACTACACCAACAAGATAACCACATTTTAGTAAATTATTATGTTAAACAAAGTTAAGAACACTAAAAAGAACACTAGAAATTGGGAGTGCATGATTTGAGTACATCTCTATAGAGTTTATGCTGCCCTTATTGACAAATAATGTGGGGGAAAAAATATATACACACACACACATTATTAATGCAGATTGGAAGAGCTCCTGTTTTGATGGACGTAAGTCTTATCACAGACAATAATATAGACAAAACTAGTTGAATTACAGCACTTACAACAAAAGCTAAAAGGCAGGTCACCAGATTATCTGTTCTTTTGCTAAATACAAGGAAACATGTCTTAATTACCAAATGAAGTAAGTGGCCATAATGTGAACACCAACTAATGTTAACAGGGGCCATATGCTACATTTGTCTTGTATTTTTTCCCTGAGGCTGACTTATCTGGGTTTTGTGTGGGTTTGTGTCATAATTCGTTTTTACATGACCTTTTTCCAACCTCTCCTTGTTGCTTAGAACTAATCAGGCTGTTTTTGTTACTGAGCTTTTAAGACTGCATTTCCACTGCTCCAGCACGTATATCTGCTTCCCTCTTCAGTTAACTGCACGTGGGTGTTACGAGAGTGTTCCTTGCAAAATCCAACTGAAATGTAGTCTGTCGATATCGATGTAAGTAATGCTACAGTAGTAGAGTTGTATGCATAATTGTACTAATGCTTTCCAAAACATTAATCAGTCATTTCAGCTTACTAACATCAAGATTCAAATTCTGTTTTCCGTGATATGGGCCCTTTAGCGTTAGTTCTTCCAGCCAAGATGTAACCAAGTTAGACTGACTACTTTAGCCCTTTGAGGGTCAGATTGCTGTCCAGGCATTGGAATATTTTTCTCTAGAACGTCCATTCCGAATGTAACTAGCCCAGGACTAGGCTTATTCCATGACTGTACAATAAAGATGAAGCAGATTATGCTGAAAAACAGTGGAGCGTTCTTTTAGCACTAAGGCAGCAATTTCATCTGCTGTGTTGTGTTACACTGATTTTATGAAATTCAACTTGACCTGCAGGGCCCACAAGCAGGTCAAATGGCCTATGAGCGAGCAAGAGCCTCCTCTTACCTTGCCGTGGCCAGCCTTCCCTCTGATGATCTCTGGAGCCATGTACTCGATTGTACCACAGAATGAGTACGTCCTCTCCTTCTGTAAACACAGAGGCGGATGAGTCAGGTCATCATGTGGGTATATACTCTGCTACTCAAAAGTTTGGGGACAGAGATTGTTCTTAATACAAATGAGTATGTTTTCTTTTTAAAAGAAAAGACTAGGGAGGGAGAAATTCCCTATTTATTTTCAGCATTCAATTACTTTTACAGTCCTCATAAGTGCATCCTGACATTTCCAACAAAATTCCTTCAGTCTCCTAGTGGATCTACACTGTTAAAATTAGATCCCCAATGCTTTTTCTTCAGCTTTAATGAACAAACCTTTCAAATGCTTCAAAAATTGTGTTTAATCGGTTTGGCATGGAAAGGAGGTGGTGACAGTTCTCATGCCCATGGGCAAAAATGTGTAAGAAATATATATGATTGATTTGTAGCATGAAACTGACTGCCCCAGTATACACTGACCGGTCACTACACCCACTTCTATTTACACTCTTTGTCCATTTTATCAGGTCCACTTAACCTAGAGATGCATTTTGTAATTCTACAATTACAGACTGTAAGGCATCTGTTTCTCTACATACCCTTTCACTCTGTTCTTCAATGGTCAGGACCCCCATAAGACCACCACAGAGCAAGTATTATTTGGGTGGTGGATTATTCTCAGCACTGCAGTGACACTGACATGGTGGTAGAATGTTAGGGTGTGTTGCGCTGTTAAGAGTGGATCAGACACAACATGAGTTTGTAAACACTGTGTCCACTCACTGTCCACTCTATTAGACACTCCTACCTTGTTGGTCCAACATGTAGACGTAAAGTCAGAGACAGTAGCTCATCTGTTGCCACAGAGTTTGTGCTGGTCATCCTCTAGTCCTTCATCATTGGTCACAGGACGCTGTTGGCTAGATATTTTTTCTTGGTGGACTACTGGTGGTCCAGAAGAGACACTCGGGTGCAAAAAAACTCCAGCAACACTGCTGTGTCTGATCCACTCGTATCAGCGCAACACACACTAACACACCACCACCACGTCAGTGTCACAGGACTGCTGAGAATGATTGACCACCCAAATATTACCTGCTCTCTGGTGGTCCAATGGGGGTCCTGATCAAAGAGGAAGAGGGTAAAAGGGGGCTAACAAACTATGCAAAGAAACAGATGGACTACTAATTACTTACCTGCATGACATCTAATAAGCCATTATTTTAGGACTTGTCAAATGTCAAGCAAGTCCATAATTATTTCAGGATGTCATTACAAATAAAAAAAAAATATTTACAATATTTGTGACAGTGCTCCCACTTTTATTTAACAATAAAAGTATTAACAAAATATTTAGGCTTTATTTATTTACTTTTGTACCAAACGAGGCACTTTAAAGACCAAAAAGCTGAGTGTTGCAAAATATACCGAGCTGTATTGTGATAAAACCTTAACAGGTATTTTTTCTTGCTTATTTAACAAGTAACTGTGAAAAAGACGGGTAATGAAGGTGTGCACAAGAAGCAGTTCTTGATGGTAGTAGGAAGGTCACACAAACTCTCACATTGTGCGCATGCACAAAACATCGGGCAGATGGACAATCTAACGCAATAGAAAGGGTACTGAAACAGTCTTATTTGGAAAAACATGCATGAACACTTGCACTAATAGAAAAACAAGGTCTTAAACCTCTGTAGATTGAATTACTAACATAAGCGCACACACGCACACAGAGAAGCGGTTCAGGCTCACACTCCTCTTTTGACCCCAGTGTTGCATATTAGCAGCTGCTGTCGACGCTGGGTCACTCACCTCCTCCTCCAAAAACTCCTTACTCAGCCCAAAGTCAGTGAGCACCACGTGGCCCTCGCTGTCCAGGAGGATGTTTTCCAGTTTAATGTCCCGGTACACGATGCCAAGCTGCACACAACAGGCCAAAAGAGCAGCTTGTGAAAACGACACTGCCACAGCTCAGAGGCACACGCACACACATTCAGCTTTAAACAGGCAGGTAATGTGATGATGAGGCAGAGCATACGAGACACGTTAACCCACTTCCAGTTAATATGCAGTGAGTCTTTAATTAACATCTTCGAATTACAGGCCTGTAAATGAAGCTTTCCTCTCCGCCAATACTCAGTCCCGAATTCTCAGACTTAATAAACTTGTCTCGTTAAATATGTCATCTACGATCGCAGCTGTGAATATTTACATTAACACCTGAAACCCTATGCTTATTATTCATTTATTAAACTGAGTTTTATTCAGTAACTATTTAACACCCCTAGTAACTACTATGTATTAGAGATCAATCGATATGTGAATTGTGAGCTGATTTCCTGTACATATCTGGGAGAATACATAAAAAACTGAAAATGTTAAAACTAGCACTATATCTACCTGGATTAGCACTACAGAGAAAAAAACATTATTTCTATATGTTACAAAGATACTGCAGTAAAAGGAATAAAATTCAGACTCTTTAACACAGTATATATGAAGTCTTTTAACACGGTCTTTTAATACAAAAGATTTTAATACAGTAACTCAGCATCATCTGAACACCTAAATAAATACATCAACAAATGCCAGTTTGAAATATCAGTCAAATCTAAATCTGCCAATGCATTTTTTCAAGCAATTATCTGCCGATACAGATATGATCCTGATGTCATTAAGCATCCCCGCTATTACTTGTTTAATAACTACTATCAATTACTCAACAAAAGCTATAAATATTCAGAAACTGCAATGAAACTAATATGCAAGTTACTGGGTTATGCAAGTGACGAACTGAAGTCTGGAACCTCACACATGCCTTTAGGGTTTAAGGGTATAGCTGCATTTTGACAAAGCAAAATGCTTGTTTTGTTATAGCCTGTTCCTGTTTAAATGCTAAGGGAATTGATTAGTGGAGCACAAAAGCCATTGATGCCGGAAGTCTCACCTTATGCAGATGCTCCAGAGCCAAGACAATCTCGCCAATGTAGATTCTCACCTCATCTTCTGAGAAGTGATCTCGCTGGTACAGGTGAGTAAACATCTCCCCTCCGCTCACATAGTCTACATAAACACACACACACACACACACACAAACACAAGACTGAGCTTCATCTGCTGATTTTTATAAGAATCAGGAAAAAGTGGTTTATTATACTAGAACTGAATTATTTTCAGCATTGAAATTGCTTATTTCAATTCTCTGCACATGTTCAGCTTTGATTTTTACCAGTTTGAGAAGCAGTGCGAGTAGTGGGCAATATGGCAAAATATCAAATCACAATACTAGACTTTTTTTTCATCGATGTGTTAATTAGGCTTTCACCATCAAACTTATATATAACATAAATCAAACTTGTATATATATAACATAAATTAACAATTTAATTTTCAATATTAAAAATCAGTACAAAACCTCAACCATCTCACACACAATAATCCCACCCTGCTCATCTGTACAACTGTAGCCAAGCAGTGCTTTTACAATAAAATAAAACTGATAAATAAAATAATACTGTCCATATATCACTCATGTCACTCCACTGCTGTGCTCCCTTCACTAGCTTCCTGTAGCTGCACGCATCAGAATTAAAACCCTAATGCTTGCCTACAAAGCCAAAAACTGACCAGCCCCTCCCTGCCTAATGGCAATGGTCAAAACTCGAACTGTCCCTCGAGCCCTTTGAGCTTCAAGTACAGCTCGGCTTCACCCAACATCATTCAAGATGCATGGAAGACAAGCATCAAGTCTCTCGCGGTCTTCAAACGCAGACTGAAGACATATCTCTTTTTACAGCACTTAAGCGAGCACTGAGTTAAGCATTTATTATAATGTGCTGTACTGCACTTATTAAAATGTATTGTATTGTGCTGTGCTTCATTCTGTTCCTTTTCTCTAGGTATCAAATGTAAATAATATATATATATATATATATATATATATATATAAAATGATAATTTGACACATGACAGATTAAATGCACTAGCAGCGCCACATTTAAAAAAAAAAACTGCTATCAAAAACTATGAGTACAATAATTTGTATTTAACATTTCACATACTGCACTGCACTAAATACATTTAAACAGGACTAAATATATTCACGTGCAGCCAGTGATCTTTAAATAGACATATTACAATAACAAAAAAAATCATCACAATGATGATGAAACTGTCATATTGCCCACCTCTAGGGGAACGTTTGCAAACACTTGCTTTTTTTCCATCAGTCCTGACTGAAAGGTGGCGCATGGGCATTTTTTACATACTTCTTGTGGCATGATTCTTGTGACAACTGTTACAAAACAGACTCCAGGCCAGCTGCGTGATACTGCCACTATACAAGGCTATTGTGCTTGCAGGACTTGACTGATTAGACTGCATTCACACTAACACCCATGATTCAGCTACTTAAACTCGTCATTAAGCTAAATGAATATTATATCTAAACTACATCAAATAAATAAATACCTTTCTTACAGCTAACTGTTTAAGCAGATTCTGATTAGAGTATAATAATGGGCAGAAAAGTCACTGCCTATTCCTTCAAACAAGGATGGCCTATAAATGTGTTACAGCAATGTGTACTGACAATAATTGTTTGGATCGTGCACAAAATCTCTTAGCTCTCCCTTATCACAGTGTTTCAAGAGTAACCATGCAACAAAAGCAAGACACAAGCCAGATTCTTCAGATTTCTCTGGTATAAAATATAACCTTCACTTCTGATCAAGTAATTCAAGCATTAAAGGACTAATTTGGTGGAAATCAGTTTTACCAAATTACCCCAAATGTAGCCAATCAGGCAAGATGTGTTTGGGGTTTGAAGCTTGCGCTTGCACTGGTTTCTGAGGCTTGCGCTTGCACTGGTTTCTGAGGCTACTGGACACATTTGGTGTTTCCCAGACTGGTCCCTCTCCACTCTCACTTTATTACAGAGTGTCACTCCATATGAAGGTACAACCGCAGTAGTGGAGGGCACTTCTAATTAAGAGAGAGGGTTTCAGTACATGGGTAAACTTTGGGATGGCCTTGCCACGCTCCAGCGGAAGCTGCCATCACCATGGTTATGGATAAACCCTTTGCTTTCTGAGGTGTATCATCATCATGTGTTGCGTTAACAGAACAGAAGAATGTATTTGCAATAGAATAAATTGAGCATTTTATTTTTAAATCAATGCTTGCATGTTAAATATTTCAGACACAAGTCATTTGAACTTTGGGAGAAAGCCAAATATGTAATGCTTTTGTTTTCTATTTTCACCACATACATTCTGTTAAAAGGCTTTGTGAAAAAATATAAGGGTGCACCAAAATTTCAGCCAGTGGATATTTTTGGTCAAAGATGGCTGAAAGCAAAAGATTAAAAAGGTCTACAATAAAGTATCAAAATCTAACACTTAACAAAAATTTTGAATGAAAATGAAAAATAGTGATTAAAAATGCTGTTTGTTTTCTTCGCTCTCCTGTGCTGCTCAGGTCCTAGCTGGGTACAATTATTGCTCAATTCCATTTTTTTGCTCAGACCTTTTAACCCTAGTTCAAAAGTTTCCCTAGTTTTAAGTTCACATTCTCGTTTGTAAGTGACTATTATCTGTCCTCAGTGTGAACACACCTCTGCTAGCCTAACAGCCACACTTTATCGAGAAACAAGTTGAAGTTATGTTGAATTCTGTATCAAAAATGTATCATATTACAATGCAAAAATGACAAATGACAATGTGTATTGCATTGTAAAATTTCGGGGGACTTTTTAGCCATGCTTACTTACTTTAACATGCTACCCATGCTAACTTACATCCATGGGCTAACAACATGCTTGATGTCCATTAGACAGTGTTGAGTGCATCATCGCCCCCTACTTCGCACTGTAAGGCGCTGGACTGCTTTAGAAATTGTAAATTCTTATAACGGTAGCTTCTAAAACTTATTTGGCTCCTACCCTAATGTTGCCTATGTTTCCACATTTGGCCCACAATTTCTCACAATTGTTCCCAGATGTTCTTGTGTTACAAGATCACATCTGGCCTCACAAGACACAGCTCTGGAAAAAAACAGATCTTTTTCACGGTAATGATGGTTTTGTGGTACTTCAGTGATGTAATGTGAACGTAGCCTAAGCACCCCTTTTATTACAAGCCAATAAATATAATAACCTGCATAAAACAGTTATTACAAGGCCCTTACCCAGAATGAGATGGAGTTTGGTCTGGGTTTGAAAGGCATAGTGCAGGGTAACCAGGAAAGGCGACTGCCGGATGTGCTCTAAAACCTGCCTCTCTGTCCGAGTATGTTCCGCTGTCTTCGCCCTCCGAACGATAGCGGCCTTCTTCAGAACCTGAGGGGGGGGGGCAGTGTTCAGTGAGTGTGCTGTTCCTTTTGTTATGTAATCATTGTTAAGGTTTCATCACCCTTCCGTTCAAGATGGCTTAACACAGATATTGCAACAAGTTTGTTGCAGAAAAGCAACAAGTCTCTGCATCTATTAGCAGAGAATCGTGTGACTCGTCTTCAGGATATTTACATGTCTTCTTTATCAAATACAGCATGTGAAAATGATGAAGAGTAAACAGACCTTCATGGCATAAAGCTTCCCTTCATCATGGCCACTGATCTTTCTGACCAGGAACACCTTTCCATAGGCTGGAAAAAATATATAGCAATTTCAGCAAGATGAATGGTAGAACTCATGAAACAATGTGAGATCTGAGTAAGTAACAGACTCAGAGCAGCCTGACACTGGTCAAGTTGTGCTTGATGATGTCTGCCTTCCTTTGAGATGATATCGAGAGAGAAGGTGAGAAAGAAATCAAGAATGATGATCACCCAGCTTGTTTGTCAAAACTGACAACCTTGCATGGAGAAGAACAAACACCCTGAGAACACCAACCCTTCTCTTGAGGTTCTTAATTTTTTATCTTCATTTCATGAGCCATCATCCCCAAACCTAAACTGACAGCTATAAGGCCTCGCCTTAAACTGGACATCATGTCAGGTCAGATAAGAGCTGGCAGCTGGCTTGGTCAAAAGCAAAAATTTTCACACCGAGCAAGGGCAGTGTCCATGACCCTTAGCCAGCCTCAACAAATCATACAGATTTAGCAAAGGTCAGCGTTTCACAGTTCCAGTCCCCGTGGCCCTGCACTGTCATTTTAGGACCTTACCTGCTCTAACAAACCTCAGACTGCTTAAAAACAAACCAGAACTGTGGACTGCAGGAACCTGCCAAGAGAAACACAGGCCTTGACAAATAATGCTCAGTAATAAGGGTTTGGCAGGAGCCAGCAGCTACATCTTATAAGATGTATAAAATATAATAAATAATAACATTTTGCTTTCAAGCTCCTATACCCCATCATTCACATTTTACTGCACTAAGTAGGCCTGTCAGAATTATTACATATTCACCTGATCACAATTATTTGAGCCAATCGCAATTATTTTCTACAGTTGTCAGTATTCACAATCAGTGTTTTCTACACAGGCGGTTCCACGCAGTACGCCAAAGTATACGAAAACCCAAGTATACTTTGACCATGCTAGCAAGCAGAGCATTGAGTTAGCTAGCTAACACCAGTATCTAGCAAAGTTGTTCTGGCTGAATTTGCTTTCTCTTAGTTCAAACGAATGCCTAGTTGCAGTTACAATACTGATTCGTCTAATATTTACTTAACAGAATTTTTAACAAGAAGCCGTGCAAGGTGGAGGCAAGACATAGCTCAGGTACCCTGATGTGTGCTAATTCACAGAGAAGCATTTTGTAGTTGTTAAGCAAGCTTAAACAGAAGAAATGGCTGTTAGTGAAGTGCATTACGGTAATTACAGCAGTCAATATTTGTTTACAAGATGTTCCTTGAGTCTACCTTGCACATTCATTTTCAACGTGTTTAACTCTTTTGCTAGCAATTATACATTCTTCTGTCAAATCATAAAGCACTTCAGTTCACTGTTGTTCAGTTATCTGTTTTTGTATATGCTCCAGTGTACGGTTCTACAGACATAAATTAAGCCTGCAAATAAAAAAAAGTTTGTGTTCTTAATATTTAATAGATGTAACGGACACACCTACATAGTCTTGTAAATATAAAATGTGCAAAAATATGTTTGTTTATTTGAGCTTGAGCTGTTTCTGTTGTCAGTTGGGAGCTACTAAGTATCGACAGCTAAGGAGTAAAATAGCCAACTGGCCAATTTGGCCATTTCAGGCTTGTACTTCAAAAACAGGCAATTTACCTGTAAGTCACAGCTATTTATTTGGCAATTAATCATCAGTTAATATCACATGATCGTGACGGGGCTATTGTTAATACTATTTGCACCAGCCTTATCTATTATAAAATAAACTGCAGAAATAACGTCAAGTTAAATCATTGTGAATTGAAATACTGGTAAATAATGCTGTGGAAAAGGAGATTTTGAAGTACAGAGGCACTACAGGAAGCATGTGCCTGTATTCTCTGAGGCCCAATTCAAATAGTTTTTATGATTTAGATCCACTTATTCTCAGACGACAGCCATTTCACAGTTCAAGAGAGGTGGCAGTTCAGAAGCTGTTAACTTTCTCAGCATGAAATGCCAGAATGACCTTGTTAGACAGAACAGAAGAAACAGACAAGCTGTAGACAGTCATGGACCTCTCACCTCCAGTGCCAAGCACTTTGAGAAGCTCGAAATTCTCCATGCCAACTTTCTCTGTGTATCCAGTGAGGTTTGCTGTGGAGAGCAGTGAACAACATGAGAGGCAGAAAAATAACATCTAGGGATGCACATTGATACTGAAATCACTTTAGCAGTGGCAGGTAATATCTTTTTAATTTCTATGGCTAAAATATCTGCATTTCAATCATGTTACTGCATTTGTAACCCTCCACAAATTGTTACATTTCTCTATAATGCTAATCCAAATGGATGTGATTCTAATTTCTACATTTTATAAATACTTATACTTTGGCTTCAGAATCAGCATAGGCGTATATGTACATGAGAAATGTCAGATATAGTCATCAGCCTAGCATTCCCCTATCAGTGCATCCCTACTAATATCTTTCTTTATCTCTAGTACACACACACAAGTTGCCATCTATGACGGTCAGCGTATCGTCATCAATGGTGTCAATGTCAGGTTCAGAGGATTCCATTACAAAGAACTGGAGGGTATGCTTCTAGGCTACTGAGGACAGTAAATATTAGACTACTGATCATTGCTTTGGTGATATCAAAGCACACACAGTAAAATCAATGTTAAAGGGCCCATATTATGGACTTTTGCATTCTTTTGTTTCTGAATGAGTTTTATGTAGCATGTGAACACTAACACTGTGAAAGTTTCAAAACATACCATTTGCTTCTGCTCATACAGTCCATATATGTAAACTAAGATGTAAATCGGCATGTTTTGAAGTCATTGTTTTTAATGTTATGAAAATCAACATATTTACATGTAGTTGCCAATTCAGTGCAGCAGGTCAGCCCCACCCATTCACGCTGAAGTTACAAGGAGTGTTTTAGCTCAGACTGCTTTTTGAATGAGTCACAACACAGGACAGCCAATCAGAACAGAGATCACTTGCATAGATCAGTCTTAATGGCTCAGTAACAAAAGCAGCCTTAGGAGAGGTTGTTAAATTGTCATGTAAAAATGAATTATGACTGTTTTTGGTTTATGAATCCAAACGTTATAAGTAGACGTTAGGGGAAAACTTTTAAAAGCAAGAAAAATGTAGGATATGGGCCCTTTACAGCTAGCTCAACACTGATTCAATCTTAAATAGAGAATGTACAGGACATACATAGCACGTTTAGACGACCAGTTCTTACTGATAAACAACTAAAATTAAATGTCATGAAGATTTTATCAGTACAATAAAGTTAAGGCCCGTCAGGAGCTGATGAAAGGGCGAACGGTAATACACAGAAAAACAGTGCAGTTTCACTGAGCCAAAACGAAGGCAAATGCCCTGAGCATCATCACCTACCATTCGTGATTTCATGTTTGACGGTGCAGACTTTCTTCCGAGCCTCCCTGTCCGAGTCCTCGCTACTACTACTACTGCTAGCACTACCGTCTCCAGGCATTTCTGCTGCTCGATTTCACCAAGTTTTCGCAAATACAGATGTTCGGACACGTTTCCCTCCCGCTTTCCCAAGCATCTATGTCCACAACACTTCTGCTCACGCAACCCAGCCTACAACTAACGTTACAGCCCGAACGGAGAGCATTCAAGTGGCAAACCGAACATTTCAAACCGCACCACAGCTGTGAGACGGGCATGAATGGGAGCTCTTTCGCTTTGTTTTGGTTTTTATTTTCCTACTTGATGGCAATCCCTTAGCTCACAAATCCCTTTGACATCCTGCTGTGGACTCTAATCTTCATAAGCGAGCCCTAATGTATGTGTTTTTGCTGCAGGAGTTAAGCGACCTAAATACATAATCGTCTGATAAATGGTCCTTTTTGACTGAATGCTAACGTGCGTCGTGAGTCTCTTTCAAAACAGCGACCTTCGCCTTTAGCAAACAGCCGCTTGATAACTCCTGTTATTCGGCTACAATGTCGGCTGAGCGGACTGCTATTTCCGTATCTCTTACTCTGTAGCTACCAGCTAAATGACATGCAACTGGTCTCCCAACAGCCGTGACCCGCAGCGGAGAGCATCTACCAGCGACCCCCTCTATCTCTTTCCGTCTCTCCGGGACTTTTAACGGACCAAGTTAGCTTTCGCTTTAGCACGGCCTTGCTGACAAAAAACGACTCCTCGCCGAGCAAGCGACTCTTCAGCGAGTTCATTAACCGGCCTGTATAATAAATAAATATGTCGTAGCCCTGCTAACGAGCTAACACGGTAACATTAAGCTAGCAAACTCGCTAGCTAGATCTCCACCTTGACAGTCAAATTAAAAGCTCCGTCTTGCAGGCCCTGAGTTAGCATGTCGCCACCGGCGCCGTGTTTCCCGTGCTCTTTTTTTTACGTGACTCACGCTGAAAATATGCGCCTGTTAAGGAGTGGGAATAAAATAAAACGATAAATGAGAAAAGTGGAGTTAAACTGAGGACTCCTTCAACTACGGAAGCCGGAGCGGGTCCGTTATGCCCGTACGGCGATGTCGGAAAGGCAGGCTTTAGAATGGGAGGGTGGCTGGACAGAAGGGAGAGAAGGGAGTAGGTGCCGTAGATAGTGAACAGATAGTGAACACCCAGAACTGGTTTCTCTTGCTTTCTAGTTTTGAAATGACAGCCAAGAGAGTTTGTTTTGTCGCCTACTCAGACATGTAGTGCACTGGCTGTGATAGCGGGTGGTTAGCTGTCATTGGCATAGACATATAGGCATATCTAAAGTGAAAGATAGTGATTTAAAGGGGAATTCCACCTATTTTTTTAAATGTGTGCATAATAAGCGCAGCTGCGAAAGGATCTGTTCTCGAGATACTTTCTGAATCAGAGTTCTTCACAGTAGTGGCGATAGGAACCAGACGTCTGATGAGTTTAATGCCCCTAAAAGCTAAGTTACCGTAGTTGTTGGTGTAGCATATTTTTAAACTCCATTGTAGTTAAGATGTGTACGTGCAGGTTGTTGTAAGGCATATAACCCAGAGAAAATATATTTTTTCAGTAAATAAAATGGCTTAAATTGTGTTGTAGACATTGTAAACCTTCTCATACCACCACTGTAAAGAAATCTCAACAGTGAACCATCTCCCATCACAACACTGAATGTCTTTCTCAGTGATTGAACTTTAAAGGAATTTTGGAAAATTTATGCGTGATGACGTTTAAAATGATGACGCTATGTTTTTTTTTTCTTTCTGGCTGCGTCCAAAACCGTATCACACCATGTAGTATGTCTAAATAGTTAAGTTAGCAATAAATATGTGATTTTCAGTCGTCATCATGCCAATATTAGGAACTCTGGGTCTAGTTTCTGTCTATAAAAAATGAATAGCCAGAAATGTCCCAAAACAGATACGGTACAGTTGGCGGTATGTCACTGCATCCTCTGAATTACAAGGTTAAGGAGTCCAAATATGAACATTGCTACATGCAAGCTAACGCTGCTGCTCATTGAACTGACATCGTAAGACTGGCAACCTCACAAAAGTACCTCATGCAAACCAGTAACTTTGTCAAATGTGGTAGTTAAGTTGCTTTGGCAGCCGTAGGTTACAGTTTGAGTAGCTGGTGTTGGTATACAATAGTGTAGACTTACTTTCATTGGATCAGTAGCACGATTAGATGTTGCATGACACACCACCGCATTACACACCACCAAACAAAGAATTAAAAAAATACATATTGTATAATGAAGTCAGGAACTAATTGTATGGTAAAGCGAGGTCACGGGCTCTAATTAATTCTGGATCATAAACAACACTCATTGAGGCTCATGTTCAGCTTCTCCAGAGCATCCTTTTCTATTAGCAGTGCAATTCTATGGAGAATTTACAGACTGTGTGTGCACAATTTACAATTCACTCAGCAATTAGTGCTCTTTGAAGTAGCCGAATTCACTGATTAGAATGGGCGTCTGGATATTTTAGAACAGTATATGTTGTCGCCTATCTAAAAATGTAGTTCATAAGCTGTGATAATGGTAGTTAGCTGTCATGACAGAGGTGGGCTTACAGAAAATGTGTTTTTCTGATATCTTGAATTATGCCAATTTTTGTGCTGGCTGCTAGCTGGAGTGAAGTGTCACTTTCAGGGATGCGCAGTCTCAGATTTTTGCTTTTTACACTCGGTTGGCAGTAAACCAGTTTATAATTTGTATTTTGGCTAATCTGTCTGCGGTTTTATGATGTAAATAATGACGTGAGCCAGGGACTTGCACTGTTACTGATACTCTTCTACCAAAATGTTGTATACCATGTTGCATCACAACACCAAATGTCTTTAACAGTGATTGAACCTTGAGGACATTTTGGAAAGTTGATGTGTGGTGACGTTTAAAGTGATGATGCTAGGTTTTTTTTCCACGACAGTTTTTTCTGGCTGCTTCCAAATGTGTAGAAGTGAGTTCCCTGTAGAGGACGTGTTATTTGTTTAATTTAACCAGGGATACCGAGACTTTTGCATACTACTGAATATGTAAAGGTTAAATAAATATAAATGAAGTTTTCAAAATGAATTCTCTAAAAAATGTTTGTGTGCAAACTGCACGTGGTGTCATTATAAAAGACTTTGCCGTTGGTCTGGTAGATTTCACACAAGTAGTAATCAGGGGATAGAGGGTAGTGATGGGGAGTCTATTCCAAAACAGTCGATTCTTCACCTCCAGGGCATCTGGGAGTTGGGTCAACTCTTGGCTTTTGACTCTGAGTCGAAATGCTCAAAGTCGACTTTCTCAACTCTCTTGACTCCATCATTGGCTCAAGGGACATTTTGACCAAAGTGTGTGTTAAGTTTGAGTAGCACAGGTTTGTTTACCGGCTTGATGATGTGCTTACACTGCTGACCACCCACTGACCAAAATGTTTTCAATATGTTTGCTTCTACACTGTAGCGCTCTTCACCGAACTCTGCTGTGGAAAACCAAACTCTTCATTTTCTCCAGGAGTAGGGCTGCAAAAAAACAGCATTTAAAATGTTACAAAGAACAAAATCAGAAAACGAAAGTTCAATACTTTTCACAGAACGTTGTGGAAAATAAAGCTGAAATTGGCTTTTTTGCCATCTTCTTGCTCAAATTTTCCATTCACTTCATGTGGTACTGCAGTTACGTTTATGTGCTTGTACACCGTTTAAGGAAACTACTGCATCACTTAAGGAGCTTAAATCTGGTTAACTGGCTACTAATGGTTTATTCTCATAAAATTGTGACTACAGTAATGATTTTCTCAGTGTATCTCTTTTGAGTTTCCTCTCAAGGTCACTTCAGCAAAATGTGTGAAATTATGTGAATTCGGATGTGCGTGTGGGAATTAGCTCTAATCTTTTGCAAACTACATGATATTACTTGGAATAATCTATGAATTTTCATCATATCACTGTAATCTGTGGCTTCGTACACAAAATGGGTAAACTACGTTTAGGATGGTTTATTATTCGCTATGCCCTTTTATCACTGGCTCTGCACTAAGAGGAGCCGAGGAGCCATCCTTCCATTCCAGCAGCAGAAGTAGAGAGTCAGAGTTGACTCCAGAAAACCAAGAGTTGTGTATCACTAGGTGAAGGTGAAGGATGAAGGTGAGAGCATCATGATATGGGGGTGCTTTTCTGTGATACTGGGGCCATTTCATGCAATCAAACAAGAATGGAGAGATGTACCTAGACATATTACAGGAGAATTTAATCTTGTCCATCAAAAAACTGAATCTGAAAAACGGCTTCAAACATATAGCCAAAATACTGATTTGTGGTGTCTGAATATCTTTTTCCATATCAGTTTAGTTTTTAAATATCTATGTTTAATGTTTATAAAGATATTTTTTCATAATTATAGGTACAAAGTCAATAGAAATTATCTTGTTTTTCCTCATTGTATGTATATAATAGCAGTGTATTGAATATATTTATATATTGATACACATCTGAGACTCTAGCAGAAGCATGCCTGTTGGTGTTGCTGTGTCAGTTTTCTCGTTTGGTTCCTTGAATCTAACAGTTTTAGAGCCCCTGCAGTGTCTGATACTTAAATGTGTTTGATTTTAGCCTAATATTAACAATGTGTCTAGGTACTCGTTACTGAATAATAAGGTTAATTGTTAATTAAAATCAATAACTGAATAAATAGCCTAAAGTTTTAGAGGATGACTATAGCACATAGAAATGCCGAATGTTGACACCCCTGTGTAAATATCAATGTAGTTCATCTAAATAGGTTTTGTCTGGATAAAAGTATTTTTTGTCATTTCATACTCCAACCTTCCTGTGCTGATTTACCTGGCGAGGCCTAATCGGATGCAGTGAGAGTGGAGGTGCTTGGGCAGCAGTTTGCGTATTAAGAGCTTGGATTAGGGTCAGTTTGAAAGGTGTCAGAAACGAGGACATAGATATACAGGCCCTCGCTGTATTACTGACATGATTCATCAATCTCCATAATCCTATTCCAGCCACCCACTGACATTCAGCTGTGTGTATGTGCTTGAGGTGAGAGAAAGTGTGTGTGTGGGTCAGGCCTACTTGCTTAGTGTGTCTGCCTGTGTTCTTCCTCCTGTTCTGTAGTCAGACCCTTCTTGTGTTGTTGTGCATGTGATGGAGAAAGAGAGTGAATGTGTTGGTATGCCTATGAGCTAGTTTGCATGTTGGTGGGTGGGTGGCTGGTGAGCGCACGCTTTACTATCAAAGGCAAAAGTCAAAGAGACAGAGGCAAGTGGGCAATATTTCAACACACATCTATTCGCACAAAATTGCACTACACAACGAAGCAGTTAAAAACTTTAATCTTTATTCAATCCGACTCTTGTACTTTTCCGTAGTTCTGCAGTGCAGTAGGTTTTCTGTGGCTTAGCAGAGCATTGAGCAGGAACTGACTACACCAGCTTTATACATTTACATTGCTGTTATCTTCTTGCATAATGTACAATCATGGTTTGAGCTTTGAAAGTCAAGTTTTCTTGGATGCTTTCTTACATGTTTTTCAGGGTAGGCAGTTGAATAAACATTTGCCTTGGAATGAAGATATTAGTTCCAGTGCTTCAGGTTATAGTTGTATTCCCATTATTTATCGATAAACAACAGTGTAAATCAACAGCGTAAATGAGAAATTTAGAGCAAATTAGTTTAAGAGATGGACGTTGTTTTTTTCACATTGCGTAAAGTGGGCACAGTCCAATAAGGGGGAGTAATCAGGAATCATCATGCAGCTCATACAGCATTGACACAATTTGGAAAAATGCAGCAGGAAGACTGCAGTTTGAAACTCCAAAAGACAATCCTGAATTTGTTGCAGCTGCAGATGAATTATTAAGGGCCTTATTGATCGCCAAATGCTGGCGAAACATCGCAGCAGCCTCCTTGGAAACGTAATACTCAAAGGCTTCTTCACCATGTTACTCAAACGCACCCAGAACAGCCTTGTGGCCACATTTTTTTGGGCCGAACTTAGTCATTATAGTGCACTCTATAGCACAGATGATGACATATGACTGAGATGTGACTGCATCTCATGGAACTGGCATGTTTTGATGTTTACATATAATAAAGAGTATTTTAAAGGGAATATTTTGAAAGGTGTGCAATATTAAGGTATGCTGTACAGTGCTACAAAATAGACTTATAAAAGTACCAAACAATTACAAGTGTTCAGATCACAACATCTTGTACTATTTGTGCGCCCATGCTCAGCCAGATATTCAGAGATGATTGAGGTTCTATTACAGCTGCATATAAAAGAACTGGCATGGTCTGACATTTACATAAGGAATAAGGAACATTTTGAAAGAGAAAGATTTCTGGGGGGGAATGAGCTGTTAAAGAACTGTACAGTACTTTGGGATACAAAGTTAAAGAAGATTTACAAAAGTACCAAACAATTATATTGTTCAGATCTTGTGCCATTTTTTTCCTTTATCATTGGGTTAAAATCTGGGGTAGTTTAGGTTGCAGGGGTCGTTGCCCCAGCTGTCCCTGATGTGCCTGCGGCCCCTGCTTCCGCCTTGACCTGCCCATCCTGCACCTGGTTCAGCAGCAGAAGCTTCAGCACTGGGTCCAGGTACTCCATGATGGTCTCAGAGATGCTCTTCTCCAGCAGGTAGCCCTCCGTCTCAATTTCTGTGTTCTCCTGCCCAACCAAGGCCTCCAAGGAGGTCTGCAGATACCTCAGGCTCGCCAATACAGTGCACTATGGAAAAACAGGGAGGTGGAGTCATGGAAATCAGGTAGTATGGGATTGAGAAGGGATTAAAACAATGTGGAGGTGGGTAGGTGATGGAAGATAGTTAGTAGAACAAGGTGGAGACCATTGTACATCAGATCAATTTGTGTAGTAAGTGATATGTAAGTATCTTAATCTTGGGTTTTAGGGTCCCTCAAGTAATTAACAATTAAAATACGATTATGAACATCTTAGAGTATGTTCACAGTTGAATTGACTCTGTTTATTTTCCAGTTAGTACTCACAAAAGTGTCTATTTTTCTCACTTCCATTGATTCTTCAGTTTTCTGGGGCCCTCCATTACTCAGTTGCCAAAACTGCTTTTGAGCCAAACTCAACAAAGTCAATAAAGTAAACACAAACCTCCTTTCTTATCTATGGTTCGATACCTGAAGCACATAGACAGAAAGCACCACAGCCCCAAAGCTGTTCATCAGGCCCATGTAGTAGTTAAGAAGTGCCTCCCGGCATCCGTGGATGAAGATGTTGAGTTCCTCAGTTTGGTGCTCATAGTTGTAGTGGGCAGAGTTGTTGGTGATTTTGTACTGGATGCAGGGTCTGGGGGAACTGGGGTTGCAGCAGCTGAAGGGGACTCCATCCACCAGGTAACGCCCATCCACATTGCTCTTGATACGGCTGAAGGAGACAAAAAAATTAACGTGTCAAGACCTGTTTAGAGCAGATGCCTTTAACTCTGAATGAATTCAATATCCAGTCCCAAAATTTGGTAATCACTGATATCTAAGACGGGTCATACAACATGGTTTTACATTCCATCAGTTCTGGGGGCCCACTGCTTTGCACAGTCTTAAGTTTAGGCCCCCACAGTTACACTCCAGATACAACTCATGAAGGGTTTGATAAGTAGCTGTTGAGTTGGCTGTCTTACATCAACAGCTCAGTTAACCACCAGTGACTACAAAATCCAAGACTGGAATTGGATTCAAGGTCTGGCCTTGAAGCTCTCTGCTCTAAACACATTACCCACAAGAAACTGGTCCTATTTCCTTATGTTGCACTGACCCAGCAACTCTGCAAATCATACCTGACTTCAAGACTTCAAATCCGTATCTTGAATCCAGTTTCTAGCCCTGGTCTCTTCATCACTAATATGTATGACACTAAGTGGCCAATCAGATACATCAACAGTTCAGGAAATTACCAGTGATGATAAAATAAAAGACCAAAAACTGGATTGAAGGTCTAGATTTGAAGACCTCTAAACTATTGTCTTTATTGCCAACCCAATGCAAAAGACAAAAGTAAAGTTCCGGCCACGTTGCTGTGTCACTGAGATTTCTCCACCAAGAAGTCCCATAATGGTCTTAATCTGAGACCAACCTTTAATGATATTAGCTAGAAATTGTAGTATTTGAAGTGAAGCTAGAATGAGACCCTATTCTATCTTCATTTCCCCTAATCTCACTTACTCCTTAACCTCTTTGGAACTGAAATCCAGGTAGCGGTTGCTGATCCACTGCACCTCAAACCAGTCCTTGTAGTCATTGTTGCCGCAGCACTGGAACTCCATCTGCAAGCGGTCGATGGTCTGCTTCTGGAAGCAGCGGCCTGGTGTGTCCGTGTCTTTATAGAATCGGATACCGTTCTTCAAGCCAACCTTCAGCGAGCCCTCCAGGGTGCCCTTCATGGCGTAGCTCAGAATGACACCGATCAGCATGAGGGTGGTGAAGAAGATTGAGCAACAGAAGTAGGGCTTCAGGAAGGTCTTCCAGCGTGGGAAGCGCGTGGCATCCAGTGCATCCTGGCAGATTCGTGTTGCAAAGTAGTTGATACCCATGGCAGCCATCCCTGCTATGATCAGCGTGTTGGGCACAATGTAGATCTCGGTGTTGTCCATTACCTACAGGGCAGATTTTGGGGTTATCATGAATCTGGTACTGGTACTTGCTCTAGTAGATTCTACTTGTGTCATATGATATGGAGCAGCATGTTTTACATTAACAAAACCTAATTTGTTACAGGGCCGATTCAGGATTCCATTTATTATCGCCTTAATAATGTGTGTATATAGCTTTATTTTGTGTGAATGAGTTTTACTAGAATGCCTTTTTACAAGCAAGTGATTGCAGGAAAACTAGAATCTAAGCTCCTTGAAAGCATTTATTGCTGACTGGTTTGCTTTCTCTTCCTATAAGGCCTTATGCTTTTAGCACATCACGCATCCTGCGATTCAGTTCCCTTTTCTTTATTTTAGTGTTTGCTACTATTTTGCACATTTACAACCCAAATGCTTTTGTATTTGCAAAATTTGCAGAAAAAAAGTCAATATTTGCCAACACATGAAAAGTTACAAACAATTAAGGTTAGTTTTAGCAGTCTTTCCTTGTGAGTTTTTTGTTGATCATCACCCTTGCTCATCATACACCCTATGAATTTAGCCAGCCATTTTGCACTATACTGCTAAAACAGCATTCAATGGTCTGTCTCTACCAGAAAGAACTACAGTTTTGAGTTTGGACACATATAATGGCCATTTTAACATTTTGTTCAAACAGATGACCAATCCAATAGAAAAGTAGTTTAATGGGGCAAAGCCAATCCTCTGGGGTTGCTGTAATGGATGAGACAGATTCTTTATTGTGACCTAGATTATGATCCATCCAGGCCATTGGACTACTCATCGAAGAGGACAGCTTCCTAAGCCTATTGTAACCAGCTTAGGTAATATTTATATTCACCTAGGTTAATCCAGTCCAGATATTTCAGTCACTTCTAATTGTTTTCTGGAGTCCTTTGAGGCATATTACACCACGCACTACAGATTAGACAACATAAGCAAATGATGATTGTTAATTAATAAATAGTATTTATTGATTAATAAAGCTGACCATTAACATGCTGTTAAATAAGGCCAATTCTTCTTTGCATATACTCTATTACTCAAAAGTTTAGAATGAATTTTTCCAATAACAGCAGAACAATTTTAAGTTGAATGATGAAGAGAGATTCAGATTATTCTAAAGTGAATATACATATATAAATGTGTATATATGTACAGATATGTGTACATATGTAAATGTGCATTATTGTTCAGCACTTAAAACATCTAAGAATACCTTTTGGTGTCTAGTCTATAACATTTATAGTGATTTTCTAAGTAAAAAATAAGTGAACACGTCTATGGAGTTAAACATATTGGAAAAAAAATCAAAAATAAAATATTGAAAATGTACCATAACTTTTGCACAGGCCACATTTTATGGTTTATTTTTTTTCTCAATATGTTAAATTCAGCAAATAAACAGTAATTTAAATGTGCAGAAGTGTGTTCTCTGTAGAAGATATGTTATCTTATTTTCACTTAGAAAATCATCAAAAAAAATGTAAATTGATCAGTGGCGCCCAAACTTTTGCATATATGTAAATGACTGTAGTATAAAAAGCAAGAAAACGTATTAACATGACAAGTGCTTCCAGACATTTAAACAATTTTGTGACTTCCATTGTGACCAAGGCCTAAGACGTTCCTTCAGTATTTCTTGTCCTAACACTATGTCCTATGCTAGGTTAATAAAATACGTTGCCTTGGTGAAATAAACCTTGTCAAGACAACATGTTTCCACTTTCAAACGGAATAAAAACTCATAAAGAACAGTTTGAAGTGGAGTACAGACTGCCACGCTTAAATACCTCTGCCCTTCTGCGCAGTTCTGTCTTCAGGAAGCAACCAAGGCAGAAGGTGATCGCTCCACCTAAAGTAGCCAGCCAAGATAGCAGCCATAAACCCTGTGCCAACTTCACCCTTTTCTCAAAGGGGAACTTCATCTTAGCCCACACCATGATGACAGCCCAGGAGTGCTAGAATTCAGAGAAGAATGAAAAGAAGACGTCCGTGTCTGAAGAAGAATGCCAGGCAACCGAAACAAAAGGAAATTGTGCCTGAAGGTTAATGAAGATGGAAATGATTGTAGAGGCGATGAGGAACTGGATGATGATTCCGAGTGGTTCTTGAGATGTTTCAAAATGTTGTATTTTGAAAAGAAGAGATCTCCAAAAAGAGAAAAAAAGCTCTTGCTATCCAAAATCCAAGGTTAAATCCTCTTGCGTCTCAGAATATCTGGGTCAGATTGATTTCACCCGAACAGTTCAGCTGTTTTTTGGTCTTGGTCACTTAATCCGTATGTGGTGGTCTGTCCGGGTTTTGGTGTGGTGATCCCCCCAGTTGAGATGCTAAAGATAGCTCAGAGACCACTCAGTGACAGAGAGTGGTACATTTGCACCTCTGCGTCCATGCTTGGGTGAGACACACTGGATTCGGCCAGAGCTGGAGGTCTGGGGCGTCTTACCTGTAATCCTTTACCTATCCTATTACAGCGTCCCTCTCCAATGGGAATCCAGGGATATGTCTGCTCAGCAAAGATTAGAATTGCAGCTGGACATGGAGAGATGTGGCCATATTGCCATAACATGGCAATCATATTCATAAATATTGACCTGTTGGAGATTCTTTGAGACTGCAGACTGTGGCATTTGTTGGGTTGGTGGAGAAGATGCTGAGCTCTCCAGTGAAGATTCCACCATATATGCAAATCACAGTGCAAGTGATCATTTTTTAACAAAACCCATGAAATTATCATAACATATGAGAGCAGGGTTGGATTTAGTGATTCAGGCAAAAGCCAAGAATGGGTCCCCCTGGATGCACATTTCTAGATTGGTTGAGGTTCTGGTTGCACCATCAATACATAATGAAAAAGCTGTCTGACGCCTGAGACATTCTTTTATGATCATTTTGAGATAAAGTTTTTGTATTTTTAACAATCTGTGCTTGAGGGATACATGGGTGTTTGAAGGCAAAATAGTTCCCAAAGAAAACTTTTTTTTCAGATTTAATACTATTTTACCATCGTCAACATTACATAAAAAGCTCAGACACATGTAGGTCCACTGGTGGTTTTAGATAGAAAATAAAATGGCCATATTTGTGTTGTAGATATTGTGAACACTGGCTCCCATCACCACCACTGCAAAGAAATCTGAGACAGTAAGTTCAGATCAGATCAGAACACTCTGAATGACTTTGTTTACATCTTAATTACTTAAGTATACAGAAATTTTGAAAAAGAGTTCCTTTTTAACATCTATCTTACAACCTCTATTTATCCATTAAACAGGCTAGTTTTTACTGTGCCTTTAAGACTGATATATGTAAATGACCTTCGTTCTCATAGGCTGCCCTGTATTGTGCCAAGTACAGAAAGCAGGCAGGACTGAAACACTCCTTACAACTTCAGAGTGAATGGGTGGGGCTAAACTGATAAGGCTGATTAGGTGGATATATGTAAATGTATTGGTTTTTGTGACATTACAAAGCAGTGAACTCAAAACGAGCTGTTTTTCAGCTTAGTTTTCATAAATGGGCTCTATGGAGTGGAGAGCGAATGATACATTTTAAAACTATAATAGCGTTTACATACTACATACTCCTTTATTTCAAAATAGCGAGGAAATTTTGGTTTTCCATGTCATGAACGCTTTATTTTTACAAATTTACAGAAAATCGGGCCTTCTCTACAGATAGCAGAGGGCATTCCCAGATGGACTGAGTAAAAAAAGGGGGGTAAAAACAATAGAAAGTGTAGTTAATCTTGTTTACATGTCCTGCAACAGGCTCAGTGGTGTGAATTTAAGCAGCTGAATGGCTTGAGTGATTTGCACCCATTATAGGCTTTAGGCCTATTAGGTTTGTCTCACATAGCTGTGCTGTAAAACTGTGCTTTTAATTGGACAGATGCTTCTAACTGAATTGACTGAGCACACATAACAGAGCAGTGCATGTAGTTCTGTTCATTTGTTGATTTGGCCATATCAGTGGTAATCTGTACAAACTAAAGCAAAACATCATAATACATGAGAAAAAAAGTTTTGAGTCTTGAGACTGATCACAGTGTGCTATGCTAGTGCACATTTACACAATAGCTCATGACATTATTGTGAAGTTAATGTGTTATGAGGGAGCTCAAAGTTTGGTGAATTATAGAAAATAATTTGCTCTGGAATTATTACTTCTAAAACTATAGACATTATATAGGCACATTCATGCTGAAATTAAAATCACAGATCTTGTTGGTAATCATTTGAATTAGAGCACCCCCTCAGATAAAAGTAATCCAGCTCCAATAGGGCTTTGGACTAGATTTCATGTATCACAGCCTTATGGAGCAGTTTACCTCAAAAACTATGATAAAACCATATTTTATACTGACACCAGGGTTAACCAAAGGAGCTAGCTGATAGATACTTTCAATAAAATATAAGCAATAGATATTAAGTTTAACCACTTAACATGCCAGGTTTATTTCACACAAAGGCTTAATATTCAGTAACTACACAGACCTCAATGAAAAATAAAGGAGCTATTCTTAGGTTATAGAAGTATGTAATAAAACTTATTAAGGGGTTGATAATTAGTCACCATATTATTCTAAACCAGCAAAGTAAGAAGAAAATGGTCCATGTAGGACCTGTATAACTAAGCAGCTAACGTTACTCCCTCAGTTGAAGCTGAGTTGTGAAAGCAGAAATCTCAGTAGGTTTTGTGTTTAGCACCAAATAATAATGCCATTTTCTTTAGTTTATCAGTAAGCAAATGATGACCACTTGGATAAAGTACATTACAGGGAAAAATGTACTCAAGTACACTCTTAAAAAGATGGTTCTTTAAGGGTTCTTTAGTCAAGAACCCTTTGCAAGATTTGCAAGATGCAAGGTTCTTTGCATCATGAAAGGGTTTTTCAGATTAATGGAGCTTTATAGAGAAACATTTTGAAAAGGGTTCTATATAGCACCAAAAAGGGTTCCACTATTGTTAAGAACCCTTTTCTGATACTATATAGAACCTTTTTGACACTAACAAGAGTAAATGCTATTTGTTACTTTCCACCTCTGCAATTGTGGTATCTGCAAGGGTGGTTTTAGGGAGGGTCTTTGAGCTAGCTGAGGGTTTCGGTTGATGATAAGTAATGGGAAGACAAACCCACCATTTCAATATCGGTTTGAACAAGCACTTGTCTACTTGGACTCATCATTTCCCCTCAGGGGAATCCCCAGTGCCATCTTAAGGGCTGTTCCATTCCTTTATTAGCTAAATTAAATGGTGTTAGATGAATCCTCAGAGCAGCAGAACTTGCCCAGAAATCACTCTGACCTGATGCATAACAAAGCCGTTTATTAGCTAACGTTACAGCAGTAAACTTTAAAATGCTTAACGTAAAACCATAGCATTCAATTTGCTGGGCTTTAGGTTCCAAACTACTCCATCTGTTATACATGACTGCTGGTAAAACTTCATTACTTTACTCTGAAAGCATTCTGTTACTCTGTTAGCATGCTGAAGGCTACATGGCTAACCAGCTGAGGGTGAGTGTGTAACGTTAGAATAATCCACTCCTCACTGTCACCTGCTCCACTTCTCTCGCGAGTGGCCACTTGTGTAACGTAGGAGTGACACACATCCAAGTGGCGAGTCGAAGTGGACAAGGGTGAGTTAAAAAGGAATTTATACAAGGCGAAACATGATATATTGGTACATTTTATTTTCCCTGCCAGCTGGTGCACAGTGACATAATCAAAACTCAGAAGACATGTTTGATTAAAGACTACGGGAAAACAAGCATTTTGTCTTTCAAATGACATGACACGATTAAATGACATTCATGATTAATATGACCAGGGACATGAGCTAACTGGTAAAGAAAGGGTCAATTTGATTTTTAGGTTAAATTTAAAGGTTAGTTTTAGGCCGAAACGCCCCTTTAACTGACATTCGATGAAATGCAACAGCCAATTATGTTGAATGTAATAGATTTGTATTAAATCTAATCCTACCCTAAACCTAAGATGCACTATGTAAGTTTTGGGGCTTTGTAATGAATCCAATGATTGTGAGTGTGTTAAAGGAGTATTCAAAGAGAGCTCAGCCAAAACTTGATGAAGGACGTGTCTTCCGAGGATGTGGATGAATTATCTATTGTCATCATATCTTCATCAGTGTGTTGATTCTGCATTTGATATCTAAACATTTAGCTAGGTCTTCTTTTAGAATCTCTGTGTGTGACATTAATATGAAAAGTCATATGATATGGTCTGAAATACTGATGCAAAATCTGACCTGAAGCCTCTGACTTTTAAATTTAATATTTCAGGCTATATGGGGTAACTTGCAGCAGCTCATGCACACCATTTAGCATTTGCTAAGTAATGCTGTTTCCTTCAATTTTAACAAGAAAATTGTACATAGTGTTACTCCGCAGCCAGCTTGGGCATTGCTGACTCGTGTAAAAATAGCTTTTTTCTGTGTTGTTGATTTTGTTAAACCAAACGCCCATGACTCTGACCGACTCAAAGTCATGCAGACTTAAAAGGCCTAAAGCCAATGGATTTCATGCCAATGAGCCTGTTACAGGAGACATAAGTAGGATTATCCACAATTTTATCAGTTTGAAAATGTTATTTAGGGATTAGGACAGTTATCATTTTACTTGCTCATCTCAAATGATCACCTAAAGGGGGATGGGGCCTTGAAAAAGTGAAATAGAGAGCTCAAACTCTATATCAGGCTGGATACAATTCCAAAGCAAAGTAAAACACAAATGCTAAAATACTGCCTTAAATTAAAGATCAGTCACTCTAAATGACTTGAATTCAAAGAGGTTGATTATGCAAAATAGCAAAACGACACTGTAATTAACATTTGCATTAATGTGTAGTACTGTGCAAAAGTCAAAAGAGTCAAATAATTCATTTTTCAGCAACAGGAACAAATCATATAGCAAAATGAT